GGTCTACTGACCTAGGATGATGCCCTTTTGGGTGTGCCTTCCTCAGCATGAAGAAATTAGAGAAACGTGCTTTGCAGGTTCCACAAATGTGCATAGAAGCCAATACAAGTTTATTACGAAAAGCAATTGATTGCCAATAAGCAAGGAAAAGTTTGTGTCTGCAGCGAGTGTCTAGTCTCAGCTGATGACATCCTTTGTGTTCAGGCTGGGGAGGGGCAGGAGGTGTTATGTGGATGCAAACTTGAGTTCCCTGACAGGTGCAGGTCAAAAGAAAAAAAGAAAAGAAAGGAAAAAAAGAACTAAGAACTAGGCTGGTGTGACAGTAACCACCGTGTGCCCCTGTAACTCTTCAGGCCTCACGCTCATTTTATTTTCATGTCTCCACGCCCAGGTTGCTTTGACGAGCGAACACGGCTGGAATGGCTCTCTGATAGCCAAATGGGGTTAATAAAAGAGAGGCCGGGTTTTATAAAGTCAGGGGAATAGAATTAGTCGAAGACATTTGTGGGAGACCTAAAATACTGTTCAATTAGTACCTTAAAATACTGAGCTACTTGATATTTTATAAAAGAAAGAAACTCATCTGTACAAAGTGGCAAGAAGAAAAGGGATTTTGATAGTGTTAGCTATCCTCATAACATCTGTCTAGCTTTTTAACTAAGATAAGGTATAAATCAATTTTTTTTACCTTTCACATATAAAATTTGAGGCAGTGAATGAGTTTTAACTAGTAATTGGAATTCTTCCTGTGTCTTGGTAACCAGAATGGAGCTTCTCATTTCCTTGAATCCAGGTGATGAAGGGATGGTGCCAGCATTGTGGAAGGGGGGGTGTATTTCTTCTATGATCACAGCAGAACTCGTTCACCTTGGGAGGAATGGCCGTGAGGGCTACCTGTAATCTTTATCTCATCTCAAAACTAATTCCTTGTTATAAAGGGCTGGTCATATAATCACAAGGATTCACAACCCCTTGAGAGTTCTAAGTACCAGAGGTGTTCAGATCGAAGAAACAGGCTGATTTTTTAAATTAATTAATTAATTTATTTATTGGTACTGGGGATCGAACTCAGGTTCCTCTGCTTGTGAGGCAGGTGGCGGAACCACTGAGCTAAATCTCAGGCCCGAAATAGGCTGATTTTAATATAAGAATGGTGAAACACTTGCTTGGAAAACACAGACCAACCCTTTGTGGCAACATTTTACAAGGTGCTTGCTTTTGGAAGATTCTTTTAATTACAGTGTTTCTGATGGCTGATTATTCTAGAACTTGCATGTGTAGAACCCGTGTTCTGCTATTATATTTGACTTCACAAGCACAGAATTATTTAAATTGTAAAATCAAGTGATAGGGAAAGGAACTGACATTTCTTGCAGACGTGTGAAGTGTGAAACATGGTACTGATGCCTCACTTTAAATTCGCATGAAATTGGCGTTTGTTATTTTACAGGAAATGGAGGGGAAAGGGGAGGTTGAATAACTTGCTGGGGATTCAAGTTAGGAGGTGGGATTCGCTTATCATCTTAGGAGATAACTGTGACCCAATGTCCAAAGTCCTTTTGAAATAATTTTTGTCCATCCTTTACCAGATTTAACTCAGTGAAATTATTTTATCTGCTATTTATTGTCATTTTTGATGCCAAAACTATAAGTTTGGGGCTTTGTGATTAATTTGTGTGCATGCGTGCGTGTTTAAAGGGCAGCTCCTGAGCTGACTTTTCTTTGAGCTGTCGTAACTGAGATCAACTCTAGGCTGTGTTTGTTTCTGAGGTCATGGAACACAGGTCCCCATCTTTGGCCTCTGAGCTTTCTCTGCACCCCTTTGCCGTACGTGTGGACAAACGCAAAGGCAGTCTTAGCCCTTTTTGGATCACTTGATTTGGGCATAAGTCACTTCTGGCATGGATTACTTGTTGACTCGTTGAGATGTATATCTTTTGACTCATTGGGATATATATCTTTTTTGTAAAACGTAAAAGTTCCAACTTTCTAGCCCAAATGTTTTCTTTCAAAAACAGAATAGAAATGAGAGGAATCTTTAAACTCTATTCCCTTTGCTCTGTCTTATTTCTTCAGGATCTGATACAAAGCTACTCTGGCAAATAGGAAAATGAAAGGTTTAAGGGCAGAGAGTACCTGAAATACTAGATTTCTTCCCTACCCTCTCGACATCTTGAGTTCTGAGCTACTCCAGGCAATCCAATCGGCGGTACCTTGTAATTCAGGGCAGGTGACGTTCCGGGCTGACACTTCTGCCTGGTTTGCCAGTTTCTTAGTGGAGCTCCTTTCGACTTCCTAGATGGATCCTTCTTGTCCGGACAGGTTTCGTTGGCCTTGACCTTTTGCTTGTTGAACAGCTCTGTGAACTCAGGTAGGTAGAATTTCCTGATGGGTTAGGGAAGGATGAGAATGGTTAACCATTGCATGGTGCTCGCTGTCAGGAAGATTAAGTAATTTATGGAATATGTTTAGAATTAGGATTATGCCTGACCGCTAGGAAATATTACGTTTTAATTTTTAAAATTTTGATTAATACTTGTTTGGGGTACGTAATGATTGCAGTCATCGTGGGGAGTTGGTACATGGACATGACACCTGTTGGTCTTTTTTACCCCTGGATATAGGCAAGGTCTTCACTAATAACCAGACAGCCTGCTTTCCCCGGGTTCCACTGCAGTTGATCAGTCTCCCCATACCTCACTAGAGCTCACACAGGTCAATTAGCTAAAAGCCAGGGGTTGTTTACTTTACTTTGTGTTTGAAAAACAAACAGGATTGAGACACATTCCTTACTTGGACTTTTGATTATGTAGGTTCACTTCCTGCTCAGAAAAGAATCACAGCTGGGTTTAAAACAAAAGAATAGAAAGTGGCTTTAGCTGTGTTTCAGAAATCCAATTTTAGTGACTTAGATTTTAGGTTTGTAAACCAGCAGGACCTGAAATCTCTGGGGATTGGTATATAGAATTTCACACTGTGGGTGGCAAAGAGCAGCACCCCTCTGCTGAGCCGCAGTGCACGCTGTTTGTGCTCTGTCCTCCAGTCTATAATTTCCAGGTTTCTGTTACAGAACAGAAGATCCTAGCTACAGACCTATCCGCTTTCCTATTTGTATACTCAGCCCAATGTTCCAAAATGAGAGCTGAACTTATACTCCATATAAACAGTTTATGCATACTGGCTGATTAAGAATTTAACAACTGATTTATCAGCTAAAATTTAAAATATCAATGATTATTTCTTGTTACTTTCATTTATTGATTTGTGTTGAAAAGCATTTTACTATATATACTTGCTCCTACTACGGAGGGAGAAATAAACAGTTGCATAGAACCCCATTATCTAAAGTGGAATATGACCAAAAGACACTTAAGTTTTTTGTTTTGTTTTTTTTTTTAAAGACATGTAAGGGAAATTCTTTCTTGGACAACATAAGAAAGACCTTTCCTGAAAATAGGACAGTATTTTTAGTCATTCAGTCCATTGACTTCTTTTCTTCCTCCAACTATTAAAGTCATGCGGTACAGGAAATTAGCATAGAGCATTGAGGCACATTTTGGCTGAAGAGAAGTACAGTGCTTTCTGCCCAGCGGCTGATTTTAAATGTGGTTATTTCACTATCACGAGTCATGATCCCAAGGAGGGTAATGAATAGATGATCTTTGGGGGGTGTGTGTGTGGCTGGTTGGGGAGAGCTCTACAGTTCTAGCAGGAAGTGGCCCGTTCTGGGCCGGAACCCGGTGGCCTCACCTGGACGTTCCGTCCTCCATTAGGGACAGCAAGCAACCCGTCCCTCTGCTGGACTTTTCTTGCTTGTGGGGACTCACTGGGACAGTGGAATATGACGTCGGCCACGCTTCATCCGTGCAAAGCCACCCAGTTTGCTTGCAGGGGCATTTCTGTGGGTTCCCACTGAATAGAATGCTGTGAAGATGCAGTGGCAGGAAAAAGGGTGTTTAGCATTGGCAGTGGCTCTGGATTAAATTTATTTATAAATTTATAATTTGGGGCCGGGGATTTAGCTCAGTGGTTTCGCTGCCTGCTGCGCAAGCGCCAGGACCCAAGTTCAATCCCCGGTACCAAAAAAACAAAAATAAAAAGAAACAAACAAATTTGTAATTTGTGTTTATCTGGATTAGTATTTTGGTATGAGGGAAAACATTGCGTATTCAATGCAGTCAGTGATTTCTTCCGCTAGAATGAAAGCAGCAGGCCAAGATGGTTGGAGACTTCACCCTGGGTGGTGGAGGCCACTCGTTGGAAAATACCTTTGACTTTCAGCCAGGAGGCACTGTTTCTTTACTGTCGAGCTATCTTTAAGCCGGAGATAGCTGGAAAAGCAATTGCTGCGCTCCCATCCATGAAGAAGGGAGTGTGAACGGAGGTCAGAGCTGGAGATGATTTTCTAGGGATTTGTGATTTGTCCTGTGCAGTTTCTGCAGAATGACGTTGTAAAAGGACAAAGGCTGTTCCCCTCCCTGCTGATCTGTAGACTGAAGCGGTTGTCACTGCTCTGGGGTGCCCGAGTGTCCAGTGCTTGGTGTTTGAGTCAGGTCTGGGAGCAGATGAGAAACAGGGCCAGCCAGCCTTGTACCAGGGCTAGCGGCTCTCATCGAGGATGCTTTGCTGGGAGGTTTTACAGCTGAGTTCTTTGTTTTTATATATCGGTCCTTCCTTCCTCTCCTTTTCTGCCCCGCCCCCCCCTTCCTTTTTTGTCCTGGGGGTTGAACCCAGGGCCTTGCATCGACCTGCACCTACTCACTCTTTTAAAATTGAGTAGTTTTGAGACAGGGTCTCTCCCAAGTTTCCCAGGCTGGCTTCAAATCTGTGGTCCTCCTGCCTCAGCCTCCGGAGTGGCAGGGATTACAGACCCAGGGTGTTCGTTGTGGCACACGGCTGCCCCCTGAGGCGAGCGTGTCCCCCCCCCCCCCGCCTCCGCCCAGCAGTGACCCCAGTGACCCGTAGTGACCCGCCTTGTCTTGTCTTGTGCTCGCTTGCAGATCGCCAGCATGGGAGGCAAGCTCAGCAAGAAGAAGAAGGGCTACAATGTGAATGACGACAAAGCCAAGGACAAGGACAAGAAGGCCGAGGGCCCGGGCACCGAGGAGGAGGGGACCCCGAAGGAGAGCGCGCCCCCCGCGGCGGCAGCCGGCAGTGCAGAGTCCCAGGAGCCTGAGAAGCCGGACAAGGACAAGGACGCCGAGAAGGACGCCGAGGGCAAGGCCGAGGCCACGGAGGGCGACTCCGCGGCGGCGCCCAAGGAGGAAGCCCCTAAGGCCGAGCCTGAGAAGAGCAGCGAGGGCGCCTCGGAGGGGCACGCGGAGCCTGGGGCCACAGCAGCCGAGCAGGAGCCCGCCGAGCCCGGGCCCGCTGCGGGCGGCGAGGCCCCCAAGGCGGCAGAGGCAGGCGTGTCCGAGGGCCGAGAAGAAGGGGAACCCAAAAAGACTGAGGCTCCCGCCGCCCAGGAGACGAAAAGTGACGGGGCCCCGGCTTCAGACTCAAAACCCAGCAGTGCCGAGGCTGCCCCCTCCTGCAAGGAGCCCCCCGCAGCCACGGAAGCGCCCAGTTCCACAGCCAAGGGCCCGGCAGAGGAGCCCAAGTCCGCGGAGGTCCCGGCAGCCAACTCGGATCAAACCGTAGCAGTGAAAGAGTAACGGACAGCCTGGGAAAACACCACTGCAAACAATCTCCCTCTCTCTCTCCCTCTCTCTCCCTCCCTCTCT